CGGCAACAACATTGTTTGAACTTCGAAACTCGTTTTGTGCCTTGTCCTTTAATACATATGGGACCACCATGATTTAAAGTCCATAACAAACTAGTTGAGTACGTACGTATAGAACATTAACACTAAAACCAAAATAAGAAACCAAGCAATTGGAAAAAGGTCACTTTAAGTAAGAATCTAAAAAAGTGAAAGAAATGGAGACAAAACAATAGTTGTATAGAGAGAGAGAGTAGTGGTGGTGAAATTGGTGATGTGTGTCACAGCTCAGCAACTATAACGCTCGCAATAAGCAAGCTGAACCTTAGCAGCGAAATTGGCAGATCCAAATCGAGAGGTAATAGCTAGGCAAGGAGAGAGGTCTAGTTTGTAGCTAACCTGGCCCTCTGATGGATCCAGAGGGTATGGATGATTCAGTATTTGAAGGACAGGTGATGCTACAGCCATCTATGACATTAGAGCTGTACGTACCCAAAGAGCTTCGAACAGTGAATCCCATCAGATCTTAGTCATGGAATCAAGCCTAATTCAATGCCCTTTTTCGCAAAATCCAATAATTAATGCACCAATGCTCATGATGGACCTAAATGACCTATTTAATTTAATTTTCTAAAAAGGGACCTAGATGTATAAATAAACAAGACAGAAGTAATGTTCAAACTTAAAAGTCAAAGTCAGACTCAGATTTGTCCAAGTGGTAAACGCGACTGGATGTGACGGGTTTGGTAAACTGTAATTATTGATAGGGTTTATATTGATCACATTCATCAAATGGCAATATCCATGAAAAAATTGATTCCAAAAAAAAAAAACAATTAATAATGCGAATCTTGAATATTTCATTATCTAGACGTGGACTTAACAGTATGAATATTCGATTCAGAAAAATTTGAAAACAAACTCTCAGCATTTTTTGTATTATACACAAAAATGTAACAACAATGATTTTGACGTACCTGTCTGAGACATTCATCCCTTCAGGAAATTTTCATTGTTTTCATAAAACTGTTAGCTTTTTTTGTATAAAAGAAAAAAAAAGCAATCACAAAAACTATTAGCTTATGGTGCACACTGTACTACACTATTCGTGACTAACAAATTGAATTAACTCAATTATATTATTTAAAATATAACATTTATTCGTTGTATTGGGAAGCTGCACATTCAAAAGAACTATTCACAACTGTTCATGGCATACACTTCATAGTAGTTCATAACTCCTTTCTTGGGAAAATCTAGAGATCCTACTCCAAGCATTTAACCCATCTTGATCTCTTTATCAATATTGATTCATCATTTCCATTTTTGTGTTGTTATTTTTTGTGATTAAATTATTTCTAAATTATACCTTCTCCTAATCTCTTTGGTTCAACCAATTAATTATAACGAGTTATTCGGATTAATTGGAATTTGACTTCTAATCTACACATCTTTGGGAATTAAAGATTTACACATCTTTATACATTAGCACATGTACCTTTTAAACTTGATTAAAATTGTGAATCAAAAGCCAAATCTTTCTATAAAATCTAAACACACGACCTTAATATTTTAGTAGAGACTCAACAAAAAAAAAAAAAAGGAAAAAACTATGAAAATAGAAAGCAAAGCAGATAATGGAAAAGGTGCTGTACACGTGCGAGAGTGACCATCAAGACTCAAGAGGCAACAGTATTGACTATTAAGGATGACAAATGTAAGAGAAAGAAGAAAGAAGGTCCACGGTTTATTATTGTCTTGCTGTAGATTTTTCTAAAATGGGCTTTGGCCAACTACATCTTGGGTCTGTGTTATTGTAATGGAATGGGTTTCCAAAATTTTGAATTTATTTTGTCCCAATATATCAGTCATGTTTAGAATTAGTCTAGTAGTAACTAATTTCACTTGTTATAACAATTAATATGTGTTTGTACTATTTCGAGCCACAAAATTTAAAAGAAATGCCGAGTTACCGTTCAATGATTCCGTTAGAGCATAACTAGAAGTTTTATCTTTTTAAAGAGTGCTCATATAGGAAAGAGAGACTAGTAAATGCAGTTTAAGTTTTTCATCTAGAAGTCGTTTACATGTGCCTAAATGTTTATTCGGTTGCCTACCAAATTGTCAACGTGTGAAAGTATCTTTGGTGTTAAATGCATCTTCACTCGAAGGTTCATGTTGTGTATGTACATCAGCTTTGGACATTTTTCAAATCTAGAAGTCTTATATTTTACAGGAAGTTCCCGTTGGTGCCCTATCATAGGAGTAGGCATTTTAACCAAACCATAATCTTGACTCTATGTGCATTATCGTCTGGTTATGCTAAACATAATCTTCATTTTTTTTTTTGAATTAACTTCTTATATTTATTGGTCTTGCTTTCCTTCTAATCAATTATTTTGTTTGTTTACCATACGTTGATCGGTCGATTTACGACGTTGATTTTATCAAAAGTTATAAGGCTATAACCATTGAGATAATGTCAAGTCACATTAATGCCATTAGGCTTATTTATAATGGGCTTCAAATTGGCCCAAATCTTCCAATATGTTTTTCTTCTAACACAGAGCCGCCGGTGTTTGCATGTGTCGGTTCATATGAGTCACGTTGAAGCAAAATCCATCAGAGTGGGACCCATTTTTACTTTAGTCGATAGCCACCACATGGACGTTACTTCTTGTGGATCACTTTGTACGTCATCAATTTATACTTATCGACCTTCCTCTTAGATAATGTCGTGAAACAAAAACACATGTAGTTTTGTTTCAATATCCGTCGTAACTGCTAAATACTTAGAATCTAAATTCACACTTTCACAGCATGATAATAACTCAGTGCCGGCTCTACCCATGTGCGGGGAGTGCTCATGCACTGGGTCCAAATTTTTTTTTTTAATATATACATAAGAAATTAGGGCCAATTGTTTTTTTCAGCTCAGGGTTCTTAATTTTTTTGAGCCGGCCCTGTAATAACTTAGAATCTAAATTCACAGCATGATAAATCTATATATAATAGCAATCTAATAAATACCATTTGCACATCTGAACGGTTGCGTCTTTTTATCGCAACCTTTCGTTTAAATCGGTTATTTTTTTACGGTTATTTTGGTTGCGTCTTTCTATCGCAATTTTCGTTTTAATCGGTTATTTGTTTACAGTTATGTCGTTTCCAATAAATACCATTTGCACATCTGAACGGTTGCGTCTTTTTATTGCAACCTTTCGTTTTAATATTTATGGTTGTTTTTCTTACAGTTATTTTTGTACGGTCATGTTGTTTTATTGAATTTCTTTTTACGTAAACCAATAAACTACATATAAAATTAGTTTTATTTCATAGTTTACATATAAAAATATTTAGTAGTATAACATCCTTAATTATATCATACATTTAAACATTTTGCTATGCTGATGTAAACTATGAAATAATTCACCAGTCATTCGTAGTTACATTCGTATGCTGATGTAAATGTTTTTTTAAAAACATTTTAATCATCTACCGTCGGTGTAACTTTTCATTAATTATTATTTTTAATTTTTTTATTTTAAATTACTAAAATGTTACTACTTAATTGAATTGTTGTAACATTTGGTTTTATTTTAGGAAACATTGTAATCTTTAGTGTATTTGATGAACCATTGCAACTTTGGATATATTTGATATATACGGTCGCGTCTCTCGGTTAAAGTTTATCATTTAAAAAAAAAATTAATTACTAAAATATATTTAAATGAATTGTTGCTACCGTTTAATTTAACGTAGTAGCATTTGGTTTATTAGTAGAACTAATGAACATTTTGGCTTATTTATCAAAACCGTTGTAACCTTTAGTTTATTTGATGTCTTTTGCGTGAGAATAGTTCTTAGTTACAAATTAATGTTTTTAATACTAATATACATAATAAATGCTTGTGAAAATTTTTATCATCATAATTTTTGTAAAATATTTATTGATTTATTACTAAAAAAGTCTAAATTGTTACAATTCATTATGACTTTTCGTTTGATATTTTTTAAACGATTTTTGAAGTACTTTCCTCCGCGACATCGCGGGGGTCCTGATTCCTAGTTGATAATAATATCTCCCTTTCCTCTACTCGCACTTACATGATACATCCATCGTTAAATCTGAAATTAGTATATAACGATGATAACGAAACCAACGAGACTTTATTGTTATGTCGTTATGGTGTCTAATCTCAAAGATAGCATCATAGCAATCACCTAACCTTAAATTAGGCTGGTTGTTGGATAGAGTCATGAGGTTTTGGTCTTTTGGACCACAAGGACCGTCTATAGAAGATTTTGGAAACTATTAAAATATGTTTCATTTAAGTTGTTAACTTTTGCTTCCATTATATTGAATGTTTATACAGGGGAAAAACATTGAAGGAGTGAACGTCGGTTGTTGAGTTTTGCATTGCGTCGTGTAAATGCTCATAAAGTGGGGAAACTTTGAAGCATGAGATTGTGAACGTCGGTTGTAGTCGATAATGATAAATATTTCGAATTCAAACGCTAGATCGAAATGAGCATTCAGAGGAATCTCATGAAAAGAAAAAAAAATGACAAAATTTATAAAATAGTCAATAATGGTTGTAAATTTGGTATGTTGATATAAAAAGTGAAAAAATGAAACAAGTGACCAATCCCCTAATCTTCATTAACTTAAGAAAAGAATAGTATTATTACAAACAAACATAATGAGTTTTCTTTATCTCATAACATAACATCACCACAATAATAATAAAATTGATAAATCCTCATAATCCATCTCTCTCTCACACCTTGAAATAACTCATAACTACTACTAGCGGGTGGTAGTTAAAACTCCACCTCTGCATCAGTAATACATTAACTACTATAATTTTTTTTTCTTTCTTAACAAAAACTACTTTTAAGAAAGAAATATAAAGAGGTCCAAAAAAAGATTAGACATCATCAAGGCCTTCTGCAAAACCGAGCCCCTGACGCATCACTCACTCAATAACCGAGTTTTTTCAAGAGACCAATTTACTAATATTACCACACAAATGAGTTTACTTTAGATAAATGGAAGAGAGAATGACCATATTGCCCTTTTTAGCGGAACTGTCCACCGGCAAAAGTCTGGCCGTATGACCAGCCAGCAGGAGCGGCGTTGTAGGATACAACAGTGCGGCCGTCGCTGGTGGTGACCTTAAAGGAAAGTGCTTGACCGTTGAGGTAAGAGTTGCTTTGCCAATTTTGTCCCCAGTTCCTTGACATGGCTTGCCAACCTGTTCTTGAACCCTTGATCGCCGCCGAGTGAACATCTCCGGCACCACCGACGTTTGTGATCAGCACAAGGTTGAAGTATGAGTGGCCGTTTATCGTGAATCTTATTCCTCCTCTTCTCCTGCATGGTACCCTATAAAACACCAAAGTATCGAAAAGTTTAAATTTTGGATCTTTTATTTCAAGAACTTGTTATTAAACTTAGCATATACTCTATTTTAAGAAAAAAACAGAGCATCTAAAGAAATTTGATATCCTCTGTTTTAAAACAGAGAAGCTGAAAAAATGTTACCTTCTATAGGAAACAGGGACGATTCCAGCTCTGTACTGAGCAATGCGTTGAAAAACAGGCTGAGCAAGGTCAAAGTGTTCAAGAGGAGGATTACACCAACCGCCATTATTGTTCGCTAACGCGTTGTTTGGCGGACAGAAGTTTGTAGCGGTTACAACGATTGAGCCAGGTAAACACCATTTACCATCGTTTTCACATCTTATCTCAAAGCAAGAACCACAACTAAGTCCATTGTTGAACAGAGCCGTGCTCAAAGCCGCCGTGCTTGTCCCGTAGCCTTGGCTATATAGATTACCATATCCACAAGCACCACCTACAAAGAAGTAACGTTGAAGATTAGTAAATTTGATAATTGGTAAGAAAAGGGTTTTGTAAGTAAGGATTTTTACCCATTGTGCCGGAAGCATCGCCTCCACCGTAGAAAGTGGCGTGAGCGTTGATCCAACCGCCACCGCCACCGTAGCCGCTCACAGAAGAAGCCATTACTCCTACCATAACCATAACTAAGAACCCAAGATGAACCATGTTTACTTCTTGTGTTAACAACCTGCACATGGTTGATATAGAGTCTATTACTTTTAGCTCAAGTAAATGTGTATTAGAGTGATTAAGGAGAAAAACAATTGAATGTAGGTGGAGAAAGTAGTTACTTGGATTTGGAGATCTTATTCTTTCTTCTTCTTTCCTTCAAGAAAAAAAAGAAAGAAAGAGAGATGTGAAAATCTGTTGTTGGGTTTTAGAGTGGGAGGTGAGTGGGTGAATTTATAGAAATCTTTAGTTAGACTACTTAGAGGAAGTTGGCTTTAATTTACCGTTATGCCACTGATGGTGGCAACTAACTTGGACTTCTTTAATAACCAAGCTTTATTTTCTTCAAGGTCAAGATAAATAAAAACTTTTTTTTTCAACAAACATTTTTGTTGTTTATTAAATGTGGTGTTAGTGGCTTATTTTAATTTTAATATTACAATATATATATCATTTGATTTTAGATTTTCTTTTTGATAGGGAACAAATAAATTGATTGGCATTAATATTGGCAAGAAAAAACCGAAAAAGCAAAGAGACAAATGCACATGTGCGCTACGAAAAGGGTCATGCGTCCTCAATCCTCATAGCCTCTTGTGTTAGGATCTCTTGTTGCTTTTTTTTTTCCAGGCGCCTACAAAGAAAGGTATAAATTATTACTGTAGTAATGTGTTGTGTGGGGTTTTATTCACAATGATATAAAAAAATTTCATTCTCATTTGTACGCCATTAGAGTAGATTAATAATCTGCTATAATTGAATATTAAATTTTTGTTATAATGAGTTTCAAAATTAGAACTCGCCAACTTTTTGACTATGGGTACAAACGGTTACAGACAGAAAATTTGTTTGCGGATTAAATCATTTTTTTTCTTTTATTTATAAATTATAGTCCGTAATACTATGTACCGAGAAAAATAAAAGAAATCCGATGCGGAGCAACAACAGTCCGTTTTTATGTACATATAAACTTGGTCAACGACGTATTATTGTCTTTCCTAAAAATAGAGTAGTCTAGTCCGCTAATAGTTTAGTCCACTTTTTCTACAATATCTATTCAAAGCCTAAACTATCGATCCGCTAATAATTACCAACAGAGTTAAAAACAGTTTGGAAAAATGTGACCTTGTTATCAATTAGAGTTTGTCATGAATATATAAAAGGTGTGACTGGTAATCTAAAATAGAAGAAAAATAACTAAAAAAAAATAATTTTTCTACTTTCTATTTGAATGTAACCTATAAAAAAAACAGTTGAATTGTTTTTCTTCCTAATTCTTCAAAAAGTAACATAAAAAAGTAGAAATTATTCCACAAAAAATATATGAAAAAAAAATTCTTCTACTTTTTGCTTTTCTTTTCTTCTCTTATTTGATATTTCTCATTGGTTTTCTTCTATAACCCTTATTATAATGGAGGTCTGGATACTTTCTAGGTAACCATTGAAATTTAAATCACTAGATTTGGCACTTCTACGATAAAACTAATTTATTGCTATAAGAGAACGATTTCTTACTTTTAATTAAAAATATATAATTATGTCTTGTGTGGGCTATATATTCGGTAATAGGGTGATAAAAGAAAATATATAATTTTCCGATTGTGAACGAGGAAGAAAAAAGAAAAGAAGCTAAAACAGTGACAGAAAAATCAAGCTGAAATCTAAGTGGGTCACAGTGGTCTGTTTTGAGTTAGACGTATCAGGAAACCTATAACTCTGTTCCTTACCTGTGTATACCTCTGCCTATATCGTGTTATGTAACCAGTTCATAATTAATTCGGAAAATATAAATATTTAGGAAATTATCGACAAGAAGATAATTGTAACTATTGAATTTAATAAGGTCAAGAGCTTGCAGCCGCAGAAATCTACGGCCAACCTCCCGTAATCAGAGCTCAAAACATGGTCCCTTGCTACTACTTTTGTTTCTCAACTTCAATTCATTTTGACAAAAACAATACAAAGTCGGTTACGTTAGTTCTCAACATTTTTCGAGTGACACACAAAACAAAATATAAGAACTCAACAAAAATGATAGAAAAAAAAGAATGAATACGTAGATTTCCCACAGGACCACAGGTAGTCGACAAACACCGTTTAGGCTAACGTTTTAATTATGATAAAAGAGCAAAATAAGGAAATTTTGATCATTTGATGAATTGTTCATAATTAATATATACATTCATTACATATATAATATATATATATTTTTTTTCCTACATTCATTACATATATAATATGTATCTGTCGATTTATCAAGCTAGTCTCGCGGGGACTAAATGGTAAGTAATGAACAAATTGACTACACATTACTAGAGCATAATTTCCAGTAAACAAAAAAAAGATATCAAAATTTAACGATCATAGGAGAAACTAGAAATCGCAAGATAGAAAACAATATCATAGATTTTAACCCCAAAAATAATAATATCATAGGATTCCTTGAGTTTACAAACGCCAAAATAAATTAATCGCCGGGTTGAAAGAAGACAAACAAATATAATATTTTTCTTCTACTCATCAAATTGGTTTTTTGGTATAGTGTAGGAGTAATGAAAATTGAAAGCGATAGTTTTTTAACATTTTTATTAAGCTTGAGATCGATAGCCCATGCATGCACATGCCTGCCGTTTTGTCTTTTTCATCGTTTCCGCTCGTACTCGTCTCCTATTTTATTTTCGCTTCTCTTGGTTTTTGTTTGTTTGTCTGTAATTGCACATAAATTTAGATTAGTTACATTTTAATACAATTGTTAAAGATCCTTCTGGAGAAATGAAACTGGTATTCCTTAAATTTTTATTTTTTTCTTGGTAAGTTTGAGCAAAGTACCTCTCCCAAAACTGTTGGCGACAAATGCGTAGGAATGAGTTTGTTCGCATGTATACATCACAAATGCGTCATTACATTAAAAAAAATTTGAAAGAAAAAACACTAATTACAGAAATCTTCTAATTAATATCTGCGATATATAACAAAACATGTTTCTCTTTATTAAAGGACACTAACAAAAACTTCGAAGGCCAAAACCAGTATATATGTATATATGTTTGTAATCTCATGAACCATGTGAATCCATCATAGTAATATGCAAATCAGACAACCACTTTCCCAATCCTCATGCATGTGTGCATGCGTGTAGTATATTTACGTAATCATAACCAATGGCATGAGTATGCGTAAGGGGCACTACAAGAAATATCCACATTGATAGCATCTGACGATAGCTCATTTTCCGTAACTGTTATGATAGATAAATTTTATTTTTTGATTATTATATAATAGCACTAAAACAACGCTAAGATAAAAAATCACCAAATCAGAAGCGAAAATCACTTATTCCGCCAATACTTCGATGAAAATTTCACTTAAGCGCCATAAACTTCAGAAACCAAAATTTTAAGTGTTATAGTAGTGTATAGCCAAAGCCAAAAAAAACTTAAACTTATTAGCTCTTTACGACAAAACACAAAAAAAAAAATTTCCCCAAATCAAAACCTAGGTTCTCATCGACTCTGACTCCACCGTGAGCTCGTCGCCGGCCTCATTTTGCATCCCTTCATTATCCTTCGGTCTCCAGCTTGGTTCACGAACTCGGTCGATTCCTCCAATGCAGACAACACCAATCTGGACAAGGATTGAGACGGAGATCGGGACCGAGAACGTGACTGCGATAGGGAGAGAGATAGAGGGCGAGATCGAGACTGCAATAGGGATAAAGACAGAGAGCGAGAGCGAGAGCGAGAGAGAGACCGTGAGCGTGGTGGTCGTGAACGAGATCGTGAACCGGATCTGAGAAATAGAGATAAGGATCAAGAGGAGGAGGCTAAGGCTAGGAAGAAGGTAAGGATTGAGAAATTGGTTGAGAGAGAGAGGGAGAAGGAACTCGTTTGATATGAAGGTTTATGAGAAGATTTATTTGTTTTTCTACCATATTTGTGTTACTTTCTCTAGCTCAATGCTTAGGTTAATTGTTGCTGTAACTTGTCTTCGTTTTATGGTTTTATTGTGATAGGAAACTTTCTGACAAGGTTGCAGATCTGGATTATATGTCGTGGTTCCTGATGTCTTCCATGGAGATCCATATAATCTGAGAATCAAGATCGACCTTTAACAATTGTATGGTTAAAAGTTTAGTTTTTTCCTGTTGGTTTCATGATCCGTTACTTTTGTTAAAACTTGTTGGTTTCTTGTGTTCAGGAGCATCGTGTTATAACTACTAGTGGTGTTGTGTCTATCATTGTCTATGGAGATAGAGAAAAGCCAACATTGATTACTTATCCTGATTTGGCCTTAAACCATAAGTCTGAAGAATCTTTGTTTTACCGAATTTGTTAATGTTTTCGTTGCTTCTTGCCTTATAGTTTGCTTGTCGTGATTACTCACATGATTTCTCTGTTTTCTTGTATCTTCACGAAGAGTTCTTGCAGTTAGGAGCTGCTCCGATTTGTCGTAATGACTCAGCCCCTTGTGCTGAAAACTTGGCAGATCAGATCCTTGAAGTTCTCAACTTTTTCGGGTAATGATTTAATTTCTTATATCTGGCTTATTGAAGTTAATTCTCAACTTTTGTTCTATAATGTATAATGTATGCTTTTGTTCAGTCTTGGTGTTGTGATGTGTATGGGAGTGACTGCAGGTGTTTATGTCCTCACCTTATTCGCGGTATGTTCCTATTTATTTTTCTCTACTCACAGTCCATTGCTTCAGATGAATATTGTGTTTATTATCTGTTCTATGTTTTAAAACTTTTCAGATGAAACATAGAGAACAAGTTCTCGGTTTGATATCAGTTTTTCTCTATGTAGCTGCAGAAGGAGCTTGATGAGTATGAGAAGGAAATGTCACTCGGGGAGGAGCTGCAAAAGAGTTCTCAGGTTCCTTATCTTTCCTCTACCAAATATTATATCTCAAGTTTGCGTATCTGTACAAATACAATTATTAGTTTGAAATAATGTTTAATCACGTATTGTTTGTTTTACAATTTGATCAAGCCGTTGATACGAGAGAATGGTTGAAGAGATGGGAGTCAAGTTCAAGGAGGAAGTTGACTATATCGTTTAATATATGATGTTAGTTTTAGTTTGTTTAAGACTAGGCGACAATTTAGTAAATAGTATAAGACTTAATACGATGTTATGTATGACTTGTTTTTTGTAATGTAATTTTACTTGTTGATGATTTATAAAATACAAACGTCCAATAAGTAAATTTTACAAAATTGGGTTCCAATATAAATTTATTTTATAAATCAAATTAAATTTATATAGCGAAAGAAAATTTTACGACATTATATATAACAACACTAAACGTGTGTAAGAATAAAGTATATTATAGCATTCGACTAATGCTATAATACAAAAATGCTATCGTAAGTGGGGGTCTACCATAACATTCTAAAAATGTTATCGTATGTGGGGGTTCTACCATAACAGGGGCATAAGACAGCGTTTATGAAAACGCTATTAATGACATATAATAGCTCTTCTCTCTTGCTAATAATGTAGATATTTCTTGTAGTGGGGCAAAATTGGTGAAAAGTAACTGACAGCCGAAGCATATGTCCGTAGCCGTATTTAACGACCGTTAACGAAATCTGCCACTCTGATTCTGAAGCTCAACTTTTTATCGTAAAGCTGTTAATCTCGAGGAAGTTCTCAAGTGTTTGATATCTACCGTCCGATTAGATTCCTGGAAGATTTTCTGTGCGTCCACTTACTTAATTTGTTCATTTCAAGAAACAAAGATTCGTGTGGCTAAGAATGGCTTTATTATCCTCGTCTCACCTCCTATGCTCACTTTCTGTTGCTGACGATTCTCTGATGAACAACTTGTGTTTTTTTTTGGGTCTTATTCCAGAAACTTATATATAGTTTTTATTATTATTTAATGCATCGAGATAAATATTTTGAATTTCTTTGCACACAAACAAAAACATTTACAGTTTAAATTCCATTGTTAGAGACTTAGAGCTAATGAGATCGAAGTTCGATGAAAATCCGATAAGTGATTGTAATAATAGTATTCTTTTTATGTTCTCCACTCATTTACAAAAATATATGCTAGAGCCTTAGAGTATTATTATGAAAGACATTGTCGATTAATTTTGAGTGTTTAAACCTACCATTCCTAATAATTATAAATTATAATAATATATGACCTTTGATTTGGTCCATATGTTTTTTTTAAGCATTATAGTCAATCAACTGAATTTCATTAAACCGGAACCGGTACAGGACCAAAGCTTAACTAAAGATCACTAATAGGCCTAAACTAATCACCTCAGAATCACTAATGTTTTGAGAAGTTGATAGATTACCAAATTGAGTAAACCAAATGGTAGTGGTCTAATGGTAAAAGACGTGGAGGCATAACGTCAATTCGAACTCTTTACTTTTGTTTGCCACTCAAATTAGGTTTATTAGAAAATTTTAATGATATAGATACTCGACATCTACATTCATTCGGGAAGTTAGTCGAGTTTCTGCCGGAATACTCCTTTGAAAAGCATCAAAGAGAGAGTAATAAACCAAATAGTCCATATGAACAACAACCAATTTGAACCGGGCCTTGTGGCCTAGTGGTAAAGGGCTCACAGCTGTGACTTCCGCCACCAGGGTTCGAGGCACGGCCACTGGCAGGTTTATATAGGGGAATTGCCAGCCTCGTGGGATTAGTCCTTGGGCCTAGGAAGCCTTTGGGAGATCCGCGGTTATTCAAAAAAAAAAAAAAAAAAAAAAAAAAAAAAAACAACAACCAATTGCAAAAAATATACACTTTCTGAAACTTTTCAAAATCAAGAAATTATCTCATCCTTTTATTTTCTTCATATGTTCTTATGACAAAGGACATGATAAGACTCTTAACATATAAGTATTTAAATATCGATTTAAGCATCAAAAACGAGAAAACCAATACTCTTAATTGATGGGATGGGATAACCAAACCAAATTAGAAGGATAAATTGGGATCTTGAGTGCTAGATTATGTGGGTTTAGATTTAGGATTTCTCGATATTAAGCAATAGAAATAATTCTAACTCTCTATGTTAACGGCACTTCTATAAAATTTTGGTTCTTATTAACTTTGGTATAAGGTGGTTTATTTTTATAACGTGGGTGACGTAGTGATAATTAATTACTAGATACGAAAGGATTCCCAATATGTGTCAAACTCAAAGTCCACATCACGTGCTGAAATCATATTCACATAATTTGGTTACGGCTCTTATTTTTGTCATGGCTCTTTATTGCTAAATTGAGTTAGTTAAACCAATTTCTCTAATTGAATTACTAATTTGTCTCTTCCAAAGATAGAGTGACATGTTCTTATGTCTTCACATATATAAGAAAAAAATAAGAAAAGCTTTCACATGTTCTCTTTGACAAACTTACAATCTATTAAATTAAACCAAGATCACCGATTACCTTTTTTCTTTAAAATAGGAAATTTGGATCGTTCCCATGACCAATTAGCCATGAAAAATGTTTTTGATCAATAAATTGTATATATATATATATAAATTTTTTTTTCGGTATGAGCTAAACTAAATATGTTTGTTGCTAAACAAATTACGTAGCGAGCCAAAATATACATGGTTTGATATATCATATTTTAGATAATTATATCCTCGAAACTAAAATTTATATTGACAAGGAAAATAGCTTATCGTCTAAAATTCCTTAATAGCCAGACAAGATAAACATACCGGTCCTCATCTCTCCTTTTGGAAAACAACCTTCATCATCGTGCCATTTATTGTAAATTGATAGTTGTTGCTTCCTTATCTTTTCCTAGAATTTTCTAGTTAAAATAGAATTCATTGGGATGAATTATATGTTCTAATATTATTCATTTCTTATCTCATTTTGTTTTTGAACAAATCAGCTCTTAATTCTTATCTCATATGATGAAAAATTTAATTGGCATTTTGTCTTTCCTACATTCTTAAAAACCACATTGGAGATTGTGGGGTTTGATCCCCCAAAAGTGTAAGAGACAAAGATTAGTGGCAAGTCAGTAGCTCAAAAGCATTTAGCCATTTTCTTTAAGAAGCTAATTTAGCTAAAACATAAACCATAAGATTAAATGAGATTATTAGCCATCTGAATATGGGGTAAATCAAGAGTGGTAATTTATGTATTTTTTTATTTTTGTTTTTATCATACAGTATTCATTTTAGCTAGAGTTATTATAGAGTCTCATTACACCCATTTCGTTAAAATATTTATGAAATATGCATGTATTATCGTTATCCAATCATCTATTTAAGTTATACTATATTAGGATTTCCACACATACTAAAGTTAATTTGCAATACAAATCATCTTTTTTTCTCGATTAAGTTCAATTAAAATGAGTACACTTTCTTTTTGTTTTTTTTTTACATCTTTAGATCGACAAGACCCGATCCATAGCAAATTCATATTATGCGGGGTAACACGACTTAGTGGAGTTGAACTCTGGTGTAAGGTATAGTCAAATGAACTTAACCACTTGACTAAAGACACATCCCCAAGTAAAACGAGTATTCTTTTGACTTAAATAATGAAGAAATTTGAAAACTAAATTTATTTCTTGTATAGAAAAGAAACATCTGTATTTTGTAATTAAGAAAAAAAAATTAAAAACATTTAAGTTACGAATGGTGGGAATATTATTTATTTGTTTATATCCAAAATTACATCATAACATTAATACATAATTGCCGGTTGTCACTGATGATTTGGTGGAATAAAAAGACACGTTTCTGTTTCTTTTCTAACATACTCATAGAGTCATAGCTAGTTGGCACTATCATTCATTAGACGTAGCTATAAATACAGATTTAACTAGGAATTATGGCTATCTTTGATTCGGGACCAGTTTTGTGAGAAACATATGAATAATAGTTGTAGCATTGGCAGTTTTGGGTAGCTAAACCAATTCTCAACTAACAAAGCTTTAATACAAAGTTTTGTAAGGAAAGACATTGAAATCTCATAAGTTTGGAGGTTGAAAAAACTTATTGTAAAGAAAAAGTGAGCATTTCAGATTTTAAATTCTGATTTTAATGTGGATTTTGAAAGAAATTAAACTTGAGGTTTTCAATAAATCAATCATAATTTAAAGTTGTATATGCACTTTTGGTTTTGGTCAACTCATGAATTACCTAAGTTAAACCACATTTGTACGGTTCGATGTCGTGGCGTCTCAAAAGTGATTTTGGAGGCCTATCTCAGTTGGGCCTATTTTGGAGGCCTAATACGATATTCTTGATTTACCCAATCTCTTGCGGACAATGATTTTCTCATTTAGTTCACCACTGAAAAACAGACACATGTCATATTTGAAGTTCGCAATTGGCAAAGTCATCCAAACAAAATCTGTGGCCCGTTGCATTTCACTTCAGTCAGAGCAGAGCAACTTGCTTTCCGATTTTCTTCGAGCCATGGAAGCTACTGCTTCAAATCCCTCCATTGTCACCGCCTCAAGAACAATTCAACGTTACCGGCGATTATCCACTCTCTCACTTCGATTCCCTACTTACCGGACAAAACGTTTTTCTCCTTTCTCGCTCACAATCACAAGATGTTCCACCACAAAAAGTAGAGAAACGGGTCAAGATTCAACCTTTGAATCATCGATCTCTCTGAAGAGAGGGCTGGTTCTTGATCTGGGAGTCTCTAAAGATTCATGGGACAGTGAGGAGATTGGTTCTCCGGTTGTGAAGAGATTTCTAAGCGATAACGAAGAGAGATGGTACCTGTGGTACCATGGAAGCTCCAAGCAGAACCCTGTTTCTGATTCTATCGGATTAGCGGTCTCAAACAATGGGATTCATTGGGAAAGAGGAAAAGGGAAAGTTGAGTCAAGCGACGATGTGGGTTTGGTTATGGGCTGTGGTGAAGACTGGTGGGGATTTGATACTGCAAGTGTTCGACCCGGTGAAGTTGTGATAATGTCGAGTTCTAAAGTCAGAGCTGATAGCTCTGTTTACTGGATGTATTACACTGGCTACACTACTGAGACGGTTGAGTTTCAATCCCAAGGTTTCACTTTCGGGTTGGTAAATCCGGAAAGGTTTCACCTTTGTGATGAGAATGTTGAGAAATCTAGGGTTTATAGGTCACTTGCTGGGCTAGCAATTAGTCAAGATGGTAGGCATTGGGCTAGAATTGAAGGTGAGCATCATAGTGGGGCATTGTTTGATGTTGGTTCTGAAAAAGATTGGGACTTTCACTATATTGCATCTCCACATGTAGTTTTCCATGGAGATGGCGATTTACGGATGTATTACCATTCGTTCGATGATAAAACCGGTGAATTCTGCATTGGGATGGCAAGGTCTAGAGATGGGATCAATTGGTTAAAGTTGGGAAAGATCTTAGGAGGAAGAAAATCCGAAAAGGATGAATCGGGTTTCTTTGACGAGCTTGGAGGTAGATATCCTTGTGTGACAAGGAACAAGAGCGATGAGAGTTATGTGATGGCTTATGAAGGTGTAGATAGAACCGGGAAGACGAGCATTGGCTTGGCGGTTTCGAAAGACGGGATTAATGATTGGAAACGGGTACAGGGAGAGGAAGCCGTGGTTGCGGTTGGTGAAGGCGGTGCGTGGGATAATGAAGGAGTTGGGTGTCCATATTTGATTGAGATGGATGGAGACTCTGATCATCAATGGAGATTGTATTATAGAGGTGTTGGTAATGGTGGAAGAACAGGAATAGGCTTAGCTGTTTCTGAAGGCAATTTGATCACTAGTTTTACAAAACAAACAGGGATTCACTTGTGAGACTGACAAAATAAATGTCTTTTGCTTTTGAGATACACTTTGATGTTAAAGAAATTTGATTAAGCGGTCAAAAAACAGCTTACGTTGGTCTAACTAGAGTACAATTAGTAAATTGTTAAATGTTTTAACTGAAATTAATGTTAATGAATTTTTGCTGATTAATTAAAACTTGTGATGTAATTTTTTAAGTAGTTCATGACCGTTACTACAAGTGGGGACAAAACCATAGTGTAAAAAAGGAAAATCCGACCGTTACAAAAACTCTAGCATTTAAGTTTCTGGGAGAAACAAAAACAACACAATCCGTAAATTAAAGCCAAAATCCAAAACTTTTTATTAATTGATCTCAGGAAATAGCAATGGGAGGAGAGCAATTCGAGCTAGAGGAAGATCGAGACGGACCATTGGAGCTGTTGCAGAGCTTGAGATCTAAAGCGACGGAGCTTCTCATTCGGGAAGAATGGGAAGAATCTATAAAAGTTTACACGGAGTTCATCGATCTCTCTCGGAGGCAACTCTCAAGTACTGGTGGATCCGACCCGGATCCGGATTCGATTGCTAAGCTCCGGAGATCTCTCTGCTTGGCTCTATGTAATCGAGCTGAGGCAAGAGCTAGACTACGAGATTTCTTGGAAGCAATGAGGGATTGTGATCAAGCACTTGAAATCGAAAAGACTCATTTCAAGACTCTTCTTTGTAAAGGTAAAGTTTTGCTTGGATTGAGCAAATACTCATTGGCTTTGGAATGCTTTAAAACGGCTCTGCTCGATCCTCAAGCGAGTGATAACTTGGAGACTGTTACTGTGTATATGGAGAAATGTAAGAAGCTTGAGTTTCAGGCAAAGACTGGCGCTTTCGATTTGTCTGATTGGATCTTAAGTGGGTTTCGTGGGAGATGTCCTGAGCTTGCTGAGTTTACTGGTTTGATTGAGATTAAGAAATCTGAGCTTAGTGGGCGTGGATTGTTTGCTACGAAGAATATTGTTGCTGGGACTTTGATCTTAGTTACAAAGGCGGTTGCGATTGAGAGAGGGATCTTAGGTAATGGAGAGTCTGGCGAAAAAGCGCAGTTGATAATGTGGAAGAATTTCGTTGAAGAGGTTACTGAATCCGTGAGGAAATGCGGTAGGACACGTCGCCTTGTCTCCGCTTTGTCCACTGGACAAGACGAAGACAATCTGGAGATTCCAGAGATATCTCTCTTTAGGCCTGATGAAGCATTTGAAACCTGTGGTGACTCGAAACAGAGTTTGGATACTGAGAAGTTATTGAGTATCCTGGATGTGAATTCTCTGGTGGAAGATGCAGTTTCGGCTAAAGTTATGGGGAGGAACAAAGAGTATTACGGTGTAGGGCTATGGACTTTAGCTTCATTCATCAACCACTCGTGTATCCCTAATGCAAGACGTCTCCATGTTGGAGACTACGCGATTGTTCATGCCTCGAGAGATATCAAAGCCGGGGAAGAGATAAGTTTTGCTTACTTCGACGTGCTTTCTCCATTGGAAAAGCGGAAAGAGATGGCTGAGTCATGGGGATTTTGTTGCGGATGCAGTAGATGCAAGTTTGAGAGTCTTTTGTATGTTACCAACCAAGAGATAAGAGAGCTTGAAATGGGTTTAGAGAGAGGCGTAGATGCAGGACACGCGGTTTATATGGTGGAAGAAGGGATGAAGAGATGGAAGGTAAAAGGGAAAGATAAAGGGCTGTTGAGAGCATCTTATTGGGGAGTTTATGATGAGATTTATAACTCGGAGAGACTTATGAAAAGATGGGGAAGGAAGATTCCAACAGTGGAAGTGGTGGTGGATAGTATCTCTGATGTTTCTGGAAGTGATGAGAGATTGTTGAAGATGGCTGTGGAAGGGATGGTGAAGAAGAATGGAGGTTGCAGTAACATTGTGGAGATGGAGAAAATCTTAAAGCTAGGGAAGGGTGTTTATGGCAAAGTGGTATCGAAAAAGAAGGCAATGAAGACTCTTCTTGGCCTAGAGTGATAAGTATTTTGCAAAATGTTGGAACTAATTGCTTGTAGGATCCATAGAGATAATAGCCATTTTGGTTTTCTGTAATTCCTTGCCTCGTGGAAGAAAACATCCAATGATATATTATTACAAAGACATTCAAATGGAAATAACACTTGATTTGTTGCAAAACATTTGTAGTCAAAGAATGTCATATATGAAAAAGCCTGTTCTACAAAAGAAATTGGATGAGTAGTAGTTGCATAAAACAAAAGGATGATTGAGAATTTATTCGTCGATCCAATTATCCTGATTAGCACTTCCTCCGGTTCTGTCCTGCAGCAACACATCTTTCTCAGTTTTCAACTGGTTAACTAGCCTGCGGACGCTAGGAGTCTGGAAGCGATCCTTAGCGGATTTCTTCGATTGAGTTATTAACCCTTTTTTGGCACTAGGATATGGTTTAGGAGGTGGATCCTTATCTTGCATTTTCGCAAGCTCCTTTAAGCGTTTGTAGGCTTTCTTCATTTCCTTTCTCTCTGAAAGATATTCCATCTGAAAAACATCAAAATACAAAATCAGCAAGACGAAGAATAACATCTCCGTGTTCAAAAGAACGGTATCAACAGCAGCGATATTACGATTCTTATCTATTCAATACGTACATTAGCAACAGACATGGCGTCATCCTCACTGATGCCATGCTCCTTCAATTCAAGTACCCGACAACCATACACACGTGCTTGATCTGGAACAAACGCTGATATCCTATTGAAGATGGCAACCACATTATACAAACTAATAAGATTAGAGAGAGATATATACAGAAAGAATGGTAAAACTCTCCCATTGAATCAGAAAGACACATGCTTAGTAACTGGTTCAAGCCAAATTTGTTTGGAATCAAACTTCTTTCTATAGTGATTCATATCAAAACAAGCTTTATGAAGAACAAAATCATCAAACCATCTTTGGTACAAATGCAGAGATATAAAAGTTGAGAATTTTACTTGGCAGGGTCATCAATTTTTGTTCCAGGATGCTTATTGGCGAATTTACGAACATAAGGATCCTCAGGGAGAACAATCCTCTGGATTTTTCCATTAGAGCGAGGAAACACAGGAGGAGGTGAACTGCCATTAAAACCAAATCACAGAACACTCATTTCAACAAAACCCTCAAAATCCAAAATCCAAATATCACAGACGCCAAAATCTCAACTTTTTGTGCAAATAGAATTCAATTGCAATCGAATTTCAAAACCCATTAACTGATGATTCAATAACTAAGTATCTAAGTGATCGATCGAGCCAAATCATTTGGAAAAATAGAAATGAGAGACGAGAGAGAGAGTGTTACGCTTCCATGGCTTTAAGCCAAACAGGTTCTCGTGTAGCTAAGCCACCAACAAGCCTCCTGGTTTTGGAAAGTAAATCACCTTTCATCCACGACATTGTTGCTGAGCTTCTTCACTTTTCTTCTTCGCTTGATCTGTAATTATTTTACCAGAGACGACGAAGACGCGAGGGTTTCAGAAATGGCTCGTATCGGTAAAACCTCTTGGTTAATCAATCAAACCGGGTACATCACACTCTAAATTACGGTCTAGAATCGGCTAAGAGATAAATTTTATGGTTTGATTCGGTTCGTAAGACAAAACGATGCCGTTTTCACGAATTCATTTGCCTTCATAAAATTTATACCTCTTTGGTTTTCTAGTCTTCACTTCCGTCAGCTATAGCCTTGGAGAAACTGCATCAATGGCGTTGAGATTGACATCGCTAAAACGCGCCGCGGTTGAGTCCTGCCGCATTTTGGAAACCAGAAGCTTCAGCCATGTCGCTGCGATGCCGTCCCCCTTGAACGGAGCTTTTGATCGCCCGATTTCTATGCCGCCGCTGGTTTTACCTGAGTTCGATCAGAATCAACCGGATTTGGTCGATGAAAAGAGCTTCGGATTCGGGCTTCCTAATTTTGCTTTTAATGGATCCATGGAGCTAATGGCTGTGCCTAAGAAGAAGGTAGAGACTCTCAATCTCTTAATTAGTTTTATCTAGGATTTTAAGGAGGGTTTATCTAGGGTTTTAGGGAGGCTCACTATTGGACTTATTAGTTGATTGTTTCTGGTTAAGGTTTGAAATTGAGATACGAAGTGCTAGATTGCTTCTTCAGTAGAATCTATCTAAGAAATGTTGTCTTTTTGGGTGCTTTTGAGTGTCAATTGTTTTTCTATTTTATTGTATCTTTGGGTTTAAGCTCGCATCTGAATTGATTTGGTTCCTTTAGGATCACATGTGAGTGAAAATGTGTAATTTTTAATGGCTCCTTGGAGAATGATAGTGTTAATCCGAACTGTTCTTGATGAAACATGCAGATTTCTAAACACAAGAGAGGGATAAGAAATGGGCCAAAGGCTCTTAAGCCTGTTCCTGTGATCATCCGTTGCAGGTAAGAGATTAGCTTCTCTTGTTGCTTTAATTGTTTGATGGTTCTTTACCTATCCATAGGTTGAGTTTGGTATGGGGGTCTAGTTTTGAGGCTGTGAAATTTTTTGTTCTGTTAGTTTTTCTCTAAGTTGTTATTGCAGCAACAGCTGAAGAATAAATGCAAATGCTTTTTGATTCATTCTTGTCTCCTTACTATATCGCTTGGTAGAAACTGCACTCGAGTAACCAGAATTGTGTATCTTTAACAAGTTTGACGAAAGAGCTAGTTGTGTTCATCATGGACACAATATGAGTCAACTTGTTCGGTTTTGGTATATGTTTGATTTAAAAATTCTTTCGTTTTTCATGATCTCATTGTGAGCGCACTTGTATCAGCATTTTATATATACCGCCGGTTTAAGTACACACTCTTTTGTGTTTCCAGGAGTTGCGGGCGAGTTAAGCTGCCACATTTCTTCTGTTGCAGCGGTGAGCGGCTAAACCCTACTGAGTAAGGCAATTCGAACAACTGATCAAGGTTTCCAATATGATTACTCCTTGTTGGATATCAAGAGGGAAAAATCTTGGCTTTCTTAGTAGTACACTAGAGTGATAATAGACTTATGTGATGCTGTTTTGGCAAATTATTTTATGCTGCAAGATCAATATTCTCATGCTTCTATTGACAAATTATGTTATTGTCATTGCTTGTTGCAAAGTCTAGGCTAGCTCATTTTTATATATGTGCTCTTAGATTTGGATTCAACAGCTAAATCTATTCTAAATGGATAAATATATTCACGTGAAACCATCTATACAATTTTTTGAAGCTCTTTGTCAAATACGCTCGCTGTCTCAATAACCTCGTAGTTTATTAGAGTGTCATTTCAAGGGTAATTTTTGGTTTATCATAGACAAAGTAGCTCGTGTTTGGTAGGTTTATCCGTTTATGGACTAATTTTGGTTTGAAATCTGATTTGAGCACATTGTGATAGAGAGCTCAATGATAACCCTAGGTAAGATTGTTATGTCCGAAGCCTCGTTGTGTTCATTTCCTTCTCTTTACTGTTTAGAAACAGATACAAGCAAGCCCTATACAAAATTGAAACCCCACTCTTTGGAAAAACCTTGATTAGATCCAGTCTAAGAGTTAACTATCTCGATCTTCCTCCTCGTCGTAGTTGAATGGTAACGGAACTGATTTGAATGCTCTGAACTTTCCCACATTGTTCAAGTGTTCATTCTCCAACCTGTGAACAAAGCAAGAACTCTTAAGTTTAAGTAAAAATTGGTTTGAAGGAGAATTTAGTCATTGTGTCTTGGTCAAAAAGTTACCTGAAGAAATTCCAGATACCACGACGTATGATCTCAAGAGCAGCAAGAAGAGCAACCATAGTTTCTCGATGTAAGAACTTGAAATTGAAATCCAGCACAGTCTGCAACCAAGCCATCCTCAACACGATGTTTAAGACCTATAAAGAAGAGAAGACAGAAACCAAATTACAAGGAAATCATCAATCAGCATTTGTACTGTTCTTTTGATTGTCATAGTTCTCACGATTGCAACGTAGTAGACGGCTTTGTTAGGAACAAGAAGCTTCTCTCTCAACAAATGTTTAGATGGTCTGTGAAGTAATCCCCAGTCAAAAACAATGTCCCAATATGTGCCGTAAAAAGTTGCCAATGCCGAGAAAACCCAGGCAGCGATTTTCCAGATGTTTCCTCTGTTAAGGCTATAAGCTGTTCTCAAGCACACAGCGACAACGGTTAATAAATATTTGAGAGCATTGTAGCCTTGACTTGAATCATTCTCTTCGATAAATCTTCGAACACACTGGAGAAAACGTGACCAGTAAGGTATCACAGCGACGATAAAGTAGAATGTGCTGTATACATCGCTTGATCTACAAGTGTTTTGCCTGTGCCTGAAGTCTCCCCAACCATAGTAACATATGTAAAACTCCAGACTCCTTAGTGCTTGAACCTAAAAAAGAAGGTTGATTAATTAGTTCAAACATTTTGAAAACATATATATGAAAGTTAGAAGAATATTATGAACACACACAAACCTGACTTGTTAATTGGTCTGCCAAGAAAAAATCTGGAAGATTAACCTGCAAATTTAGATTAAAACTTAAGAGTTTAGATGTTTTACCCCGCGTAAAACAGAGGATTTGCTTGAGTAATTAAATTACCTTGTAGAGTGGCGCCGCGATGCAGCGGAAGACAACCATGAGGAAGAACACACGGCTTGACCGATAAAAAATGTTGAAGGGACAGAACAAAATAGCTACCACTAGCTGCAAAACATTTTACAAACGAAATGTGTTACTACATTAGTAACAAAATGATTTAAGATTCTTGTGGTTGATATGATGAACAACTTACAGCCAAAATAAAAATGGGAAGAAGTTCAGTCATGGTCTTGTAGTCATTAGTGTTAGGGTCCATCTCCATGTCAAGGTTTATTAGAACAGCACAGAGAGCAAGCGTGCCGAGACCAAAGCTTAGAAGCAGAACATGTCTGTAACCAAGCTCTGTTCCTTCTTTAAAACCGAATATAAACGGGTAATTCACTCGATATCGCTTCCAAAAGTATATGTTTGAAGCATACATGATCATATGCAGAACCACAAATGCAAATAAACTGAAAATAAAGTTACCAGTGGAACATTGTCAGCAAGAAAAGTGTTTTTAGTTAGAGAGTAATCTATAAATATATGTTTTGGTTTGAACCTGTAAAGAGGGAACATTGTCTCCATGTAGAGTTTATGTCCATCCGCGCCCATTATATTACGAGCATGGATGAACATGACGAGAGCAGCCACTAGAGAGACTGTGCAACCGACGAAAAAGCCTGAAAAAGAAGAACTAACTTGAGGGATTTTGTTTAATTAGTCATGAACTAATGTAAATAAACCGGTTTCGATTTGGGATATCCTTTTAGTTACCAGTGGAAAACGTTATTCGATGTTTTTCTTTCTTCACTTTTGGTCTTAAGAGATTCATTCCTTTGCTTCGATTCAAACCCGCGAAATGCTCGACGAAGGTAGACTCAACTCTCAACATAAGCTTGTTGATCTGTTACAATGTAATTGAGCTCAGGTTTAAAGTTTTAAGTTTTATTGAAAGAAAAGAATAAGTTTTGTGCAGAGATATTGTATTAACCTCATCAGAGCTAGTGAGGTAGGACTTATCTACCATCTCCATGTATGGTTTTGCTGCACTTCTTGAAGCAATCTGATAGAAAATATTTAGCAAAAACATATTATTAAGTCTCAAGAAACTTATATTTTATATATATATACCTGATTAAATTAAGTGTTACCTTATCATACTTCTTCATGATCTTGGAAATCGCCAAAGTGTTCAAGAAGCTAATTAAATCAAGAACAAAACATGGATTTAATCAAAAAATCTATTATAACATTTCATATGTTCTTAAGAAGCAACATACCTATAATTCTTGAGATGTCGAAGCTTGCGATAAAACTCAATGAAGACATTTTTAAGCCGTTCTTCTATTTTCTTGAGATTCTCTCTTGTGAACTTGAGCTCTTCTTGGTTAGAGAGCTTGAGGACGTTTTTAATTGTGGAAAGAGGAGTTTCCTGAGTTTTGTTTAATCTGATACGTTCAAGAACACTTAACACTTCTGGTACACTCTCTTTCGTTGAATCTCCACCGCTGGATCCATTTCCCTCTACTTTGATTCCCATCTCTTCAGCTAATGTCTTCCCTTCAAAAATAAACACACACAAAAACACAAAAAAAGAGTCAAACTTTGTGTCCTTTCAGACTAAACTTAGTAACAACTAAACAAACAATCTCTGAAAACTTACTCTGTTCCGTAGAATCTAAGGCATTCATATCAACTGATAATGTTTCAGAGCAGCTCCAAGAAGAAGAAGGTTGCTCAACTTTGATTCTGAAAGCAATAAGAGCATCCATTTGTTTGTTCAAAACCACTGCCTCCTTCACCATTTCCTCCACTTTAGACCGATAAAAATGGTTTACTTTATCGAATTCAAGATCTAGGGTTTTAAAGAACGCAAGCTCTGACTCTCTCCCTGCTTCTGCAACTTCCAAGATAGTTGTCTCGTATCTCTCAAACCCATCGTCCCCAGTAGTTGCATACACCATAATGTCCTCAATTTCGGGTTCCCGAGACGAGGCGGTGCGGCTATACCGCTTTGTCAAGCCGCTGAAGTTGCGGCTACCAGATAGCTTGCGTTTCAAGACACCTGGTCTCTCTGATCTTTTCCGTGAAGTTTGGATTTCTTGAAGGATAGATTTGAGACCAGCGTAATCCATGTAAGCTTGTTGCCATTCTGGAATCATCTGCCTAACAAAATCTTTCCCAAACTTCATATTTGGTTTCTTCTCTCAATTTCTCTGGACTTCTCTGTAAAACTCAAGAATTCAGATCCACTTCAAAGCCTCTTTTAGTTGAGATTATTCTCTATCTCTCCCTCTCCGCGTCTCGCTGAAAAGTTGGCTGCAGAGTAAAGAACAGATTTTGAGAAAATTACGAGACGACAAAAAAGATTATTAGAAGAAGAAAGAAACTAGAAAGCGTAAGAAGAACAAAGTGTGGGTTATAAGAATTTGCCAACCATGCAAAAACTCGGAGTTTATTCAACAAGTCACTTATATAGATTCATACAAATATCTTCATATATATATATAAGAGACAGAGGGATATTGAGTCACATAAAGATTTGCAAGTGGATATGATTTCACGTGAGAAAAATCAAAAGAGTTGAAATGAAATTGAAAAAGACGTTTGTTGTGGTGGGCTCTTGGGTGGACTGATTGACACGAAAATAAAATAATTGCATAACAACACATGTACAAAATGTCTTCCTCTAAATTAATAATAAATGGGTTAAAGTGGTAGCTTGGTAAAAATAAACATCAAAATACTATAAAACAAATTCAAAAGAAAGAAAACAGGTGGACGATACACTTTTTGCGTGGAATGATACCACTTCCACACTGTTCTAGTGGACAATAGACGGTTCACAGTGACCGATACATTGTTTTACGGTGGAAGTTACTGTTGATGGAAGAAGAAGAGTCACAAAATAACAGATTGAAGAAATAAGAGAATTTAGAAGAAGAAAACGGAGATCAAAGAACAGAGGAAGGGCAATGGAGTTTGAGTATGGCGGCTTAGAGAAAGAAGGAAATTAGGTTTAGAGAAAAATCTCTGATACCATGTTGAATGATGAGAAGCATAATTGGTGCCCTCCTCTGTGTATTTGATTATCTGTATAAAGAGTACAATGAATCAATTAGCATAATTACATAATATGTGATATTCCTAAAATAAGATGAGTGTAATACGAGTTTCCTAATATATCAGTTACATTGTTCAATGTACAATGTTCATGCTGAGTGTAAATTATTGGGGTTAAAAAGTAAGTAAGGTAGAAAAAAAGTACCTAAATAGCAAAGATGAAAAACAACTACCAAAATTACAAACAAAAACTACACGTTAAACAAAATTTTCTTTATATTAAATTTTATGGATTTTCAACTCAAAGTCGATTAACTATAAGTGGATTATCTCATAGCATTCATTGTCGAAAAAGAATTCACTCGTAGCTTTTATATATTACTTACTCTATTTG